TCACCTACCGCTCACCTACCTCCCACCAATCGCTCTCTTGCTTCTATAAATAGAGAGGGTGTGAGGCCTAGGAGAGCAAGGGAGAAGAGATCTTAAGCTACCACAAAAGAGGAGAGAATAGCTAGAGAGCTAGAGAGGAGGAGAGCATCTTGAGGCCTTGTATCAAGGTGTCGCTTGAGAGGGAGGACATAGAAGGAAGATGAGGGCTCATCTCTATGTATAAGCTATGTATTCTCCATTTCTTTTGCCTTAGTGAAATATTTGATTGATTCCCTCCCGTGGACGTAGATCCAGTTGGATCGAACCACGTAAACGATCTGTGTTTACTTGTGTTCTTTTTCGTCTCATTTCTATGCCATGAAGTACATATCTAACAACAATAAACTTATACTCAAACTGACCGACTCAACGAGATAGATCTACTGACACTGAAATTGCCCTAATCTTAGTCAAATCAAGCCTAGATCGATATATTAAACCATTTTTAAAAACTTTTTGTGCCAAATTGGAAGCCAAACAACTTCCAAATCCAATAAGCTTATAGTTAAATCGAGAGTCTCGGCGAGACGAATCCAATGATCTTAATATCATTCATTTTTGAATCATTAAAACACTCAAATGTCATCAGTACACAGTCCAATTGAAGGAATCTCTTAGGATCATCTGATGAAGTGGTTCAGATTTCTTCCTTATTTATAGAGTGGTTTCTCTCATGCTCTATAAATAAAACACTACCCCTTAATGAAGAGGGTACTAAGACCCCACCTTGGAGTGCGATTGTGAGGAGAATGAGTTAAAGTCTAGTGTTCTACGCTAAAGGTCTAACGAACGCCACTCGCTCTTATAGCCGCTGATCATCGTCAACCATTGCTCACCAGCCGTCGCCGACCATCTTCTGCTCATTACCATAAAACCCCTTGCAGAATCACGACATACTTTGTAGAATCTTGGCGTACATTATGGAGTAACGAATCATCCTATAAAGAAGTGTATCATCCTTAATTTTGTGCAGCTATGTACCTCAAAGACAGTGTACTGAAGTTCCAGTAACTAATCCCAACTACAATCACTCACGACCTTTGTATAACAAACATTTTACTTTGAGGAATTGTGCAATGTTTTCCCTTCTGTGGGACAAGGACCTATATCCGTACTCAATAATTTATAGTGAATCATTTTGAGTAGGTTGGACCCCATGAATTTTTTTTATTTTTTGAAATTTTCATGTAAAAACTTCTGGCATCTCTGTCTTTCTCTTTAATCAAGTGAGCCAAAATCAGAATTATTGTAGTTGGTTTCTGAATCAATTTGATGTGTGAGTCCAATTTTTAACACCCATAGTGGTTGGTCCTAGTTTTATTTTTTATCTTGGTTAAGACAAATGGAAATTGCATTGTTTGGACTTCGGAATGTTAATCCTTTACTTTATTTGTTGACTGAATTTTGAGGCTAATTTTGTGACCTTAAATAACATTGTTAATTTTTTATTTTTCACCCTTTCAAATTAGGATTGAGAAAATTTACCAAGTTTGGTCATATTCCTAATATTGATTTTTAATCATATATATCACAAATCATATTATAACTCTTCCATCCATTTTTTTTAAAAGATTAATATTTTTGTTTTTTGCTTAAAAAAGTTTTTATCTTTAATAATAATATTAATTTATGTGTGCTAGAAAATTCGCGGCGGTAGAGTAATGGATTATCGTCTTAGTGTTGCGCGAGAATTCAGCATACACTCAGATGAAAATGAATCAAGCTGTGATAACACTAGAAGTTTTTACATGGAAAACCCGTAAAGGGGAAAAACCCGAGGTCTGACCCAGTTGTAAAAATTCACTATAAGTTAATGATTACAGATGTCCCTTATCCCACAGGCGGTAAAGGGTTACTAGCTTTTCCAAAGTATCAAAGTTACAATGTCGACTGACAACGGCTAGTCAGCGGTGGTGGACGGAGGTCGGCGGTAATCAACGGTAGTTGACGATAATCGATGACGGTCGGTGGTGGTCAACAAAGGTCAGCGGTAGCTGACGACCGTCATCGATTGACAGTCGACGGAGGTCAGCGTTGATCGACGACGATCAACGGTGCCCGGCAATGGTCGACAGAGGTCAGCAATGGTTGTCGACGGTCAATGGTGGTCGACGGCGATCGACGATGGCGAGGATGATCTTGGATTTGAGCTCCTTCTCAAAGCCGCAAGTTCTCTCTTAAGCTTCTTCTCTTTCATGCGAGCGGTGAAACTCTATTTATAGTGTTTTGAGTGCAATCAATGCAGGATATGAACCATTTTGATCGGACGGTTCAGCAAACTTTCTTTGATCAGATGAAGTTTGATGGACATTGGATTGCCTTAACGATGTCGGAATTGAGTAATCTTGGGCTCGTTGGATTCGTCTTGTCGAGACGCTCGATTCGACAATGAACTCGCTAGATTCGACATTCGTTTGACCTTTCAAATGCCTTTGAAAATCCTCCAATAGTGGTTTAATGATTTGATCCAGGCTTGATTTGACTCAGAGATTGGACTGACTTTGATATGGACTGACTTTGATATCATTAGGTCCGTCTCATCGAGCCAATTAATTTGACAATAAGTTTGCTGAAATCAGAGCTTCAGATGACTCTTGATCGAAGTTTGAATGTTTCTTGTTCAAAAAATTGAACTGAAATTCATGCAGAATGATGAAAATTTGTTGGTGGCGTATCAATAACAATAATTAATAATTGACAATCTTAATCTCTTCCATTATATACTATGTTGGACTAGCATGGAATCAAACCATTTGGTGTAATTTTATATATAATAGCTAAAAATAATAATTTTTTGGTTCCAATCATAAAAAAAAAAAAATAATTCACATAGCTAGCAAGAGAAAAAGATGCAATTTTTCTTTTTTCAAATAATTTATAGAATACAAAGCTCGTTATAAAGCCCATGAATTTTTCTACATGATTTACAATCAACAAGAGAATGCATCAAAATAATTTCTTATAATTATGTGGCTATAATTGTGAATAATTATTTTCATTATATAAAAAATAAATAAAAATGTGAATAAACAAACTACATTAACCTTTTTTCAATAATAATGAACTCATCCCAATGAATACTAGAGGTTCCTATGTACACTCAAAAATTGCTTGAGAGATGGTAATGGATCCCAAAATTTTATTTATTATTTATTTATTTTTTATTTTTTGAGAAAGTGCATAAATAAATTATTTAATAAATAATATTTTTATATAGTAAAAATTTTCAATTTATTAATCTAGCCATGAGATCAAGTCATACTTTTAAAGTATTTCTAAAAAAAATTAAATAAGAAAATTGAAAAATATATTAAAGTTAAATAAATTTACAGTCTATTTTATTAAAACTTAATAATTTGAATTTTATGAATGACCATTAATTTTTTTTGTTTTTTGTGATGATGCCTGATTGTCAGGGTAAATTAAAGGTCACTGAAGAAGTTATTGGATGATATTGATGTAATTCTTGGGGCTAACTTATGTCCAATACATGAGGATGTCAAAAGAAAGAAGACTAGATTGGAAGACAACCATTCTAGTGGTGTAATGAAAGATCTATCTAAAAGAACGACCTAAGGGTATATCCAATGCAAAATTAAAAGGAAATTGGGAGAGGTAATTCACTATCATCATTTTACATCATTTTCTTTTGAAGTTGTAACTCCCTGTAAATTAACTAATCAATTTAGTCATAGTGAAATCCAAAAATCATCCTTCGTGGACAAGAGGGCAGAACATCCAACTTCATCCAATCGAGATGCATCCATGGTCGAAGACAATCCAAATATTTCAAGAGCATTCTAGCAAAAAAAAAAAAAAAAGGCTTTTTTAGATGACGAGAATGATGTGTCATACACAAACATTCATTTTTTTTTCCAATGTCGTATTGTTATTCCGAGGTATTCTAATTGATTAACTTCATTTTATTATGTCATATAAATTATCATTGACACTAACATCCAAACACCATTGAAATTTAACAGGAATTCATGCGAAGATCTATTCTCATGGAAATTCCCAGTACTACTCTACCAAAATTGCATTACACTCAGATGATAATTGATAAAATTGAGCGTCAAAATCTTCGTTAACTTTATGTTATCTTTATTTATTCAATTGAAATAGTCATTGTGTCATTATAATTAATTTATACGATAGTGAATTTTATTGTTTCTCACTAAAATATTTGTTGTACTGAAGAAAATAATCGGTACACCCTATTGTTTCTTGTATTTTACATTGTTATAAGTCATAAGATTAGCATGACATCCATAATTTAAGGAATTGCCTTTGATATTTCATTCCGAAGAGCATGAAGTAGTGCAGCAACAATTATTGTACCGAAGAAATTGACAAGTGCGACCAAATTGTGTTGTGTTTTGCATTGTTATAACTCACCGAAACTATCTGTATTAACTCGGCACCTAATATTTTTCGAATTCTCAGATATTTTTTATTTCTCTCTATATTACCAGTCACGAGCTTCCATCCTTCCTTCGTCTCCACTCTCCGGTCTCCAGTCATGAGCAGCCTCCGAGCACCTTCGGCCTCACTTTCAACTCTCAAGTTCTCCAATTCCAAAATCTTCAGAAAGAACCTCTCCTTCCCTTTCTTCTGCGTCAACTACGCCTCTAAATCGCCGGAGCTAGCCGCCGCCGGAGATCAAAACAGCCTCCGCCTTATCCTACACGATTCACTCGAGTCGGCAGGGATCGATACGAAACTCGCGCGATCAGCGAGAGAACAGTTCCGGCAGCAAGTAGGGCGGCTCACCGAAATTGACGCAGAGACGTGCATTACGATCTGCCGCGGGGCGGACCTGGCGCGCACGGCACTGCACATCGCAGCCGAGGACGATTCGCTCATTTCTCACTCTTCAGTTCCTCTTCCTGTCGAGGCTTTCGTTGAGAGGCTCGATGATCTCTCGACGGAGTTTTGCTCCCTCTTCTTGCCCCCATCGGAGGCTCCTCCTGAGGTTTTTCTTGGAAAGCTAGATAGATTCTTCTATGTGCACAAGGTATTAGATCTCTGCTCCTCTTTTCATTCAATTGCGATGAAGATTATTAGTGCTATAATGATATTTGTCTCCGTTGGAGGAATTGCACTGGGTTTTTTAATTTGATTTTGGGAAACCAAATTGTACGAAGATAATATGCTTTTGGGTACAATTTAACTGAGATGGCCATGCTTTTAATTTTATCTGTTAAGGAAGCATGCTTAGTTTACAATGCGTGAGTGCCGACTTTGTTTCATTGAGGAAATGAATTTGACTGCTGGTAGTACACGCACTGCTGGTAGTACATTTGTCCTAAAATTTTCATATCCCGTGTCTGTATCTACGATCATAAGTAAAGGTTAAGCCGGATATTGGTCTTGGATTGAAGAACATCAAATTGCAACTTTTTTGCTTCAAATCCTAGTGATTCTGCACTCATGATTTAGGCATTCCAATTTTGGGCAGATTTTTGCTAAGCTAGTTATTTTTTCTTAGTTCAAATCCTTAAGCCTTTTTTTTTTCCGTTGTCCTTAGATCCCATCTCTAGGAACTTCCTTACGTGCTTTTCCATTCTGGTTGGTCAGGGCTTTCGCAGGACAGAGATGATGTCTGATACAAGAGCATTGTATCTTCATTCTGTAATTTCCTACCCTCAAATCTTATATTAGTATATATATGTTATAATTTTTTGAAGGAAATTGTCATTCACTGCATTATTTTAAACCAAATGATGCAGGTTTTGACCTGTCGATCAGGGTCCGGTGTTTTGCTATCACTTATTTACTCTGAAATGTTGAAAACACTGCGAGTGTGCGGCTTTCTGGACTTTGATGTAGAGATTTACAACCCTTGTGATTATTTTAGTTTTCCCACTGGTTATCAGAAGCAGAAATTTAAATTCTCAGATCAACCACATATTTTGTCATCAAAATTGTTATTAGTGGAGGTATGATTTCTTAAAAAAAGTTATTTTCACATTTCTCTTTGTACTAAATTCATCAAAAAACTTCGAAGAGCTCAGATTTGGATATTGGACGTTGTTCTGTACATTTAAGTGTATCTCTGTACTAATTTAGATCCTAACTTTGTGCTGGTATTAAAAAAACTTCATATTGCAAAATATATCCAACATATAGTTACCCAACTTGCATGAAGCGGGTATTTTCCTCTTTGGATTTAGCCTTTTCCATGCTTGGCTAAATCTCAGGACTTCATATTTTTTGGTGCAGTTTTTTCGCATTGGATAGCTTCATATTCTATAAGAAGATAGTATGTTTTCTCTAAGCCAGATTTGTTAAAGTGCATTGCACCATTTGGTTTACATTTTTCCAATCAAGAAACATTAAGAGGCATTTACATACATACCACCCAATTCATATGCATTTACATATCTAACACCTAAACTTAACTTTTTTATGTTTACACATCCCAAATCTTTCATATCACATAAAAAATATCACCATTTTAACTTTTAAATAGCGAAACACACTTTTAAATGCATAGGTAAGGTGGCATGTATGTAAAAATTAAAGTTTAGTTGTTAGATATGTAAATACATAACAATTTTGTGGCTTGTACGTAGAAATTGAAGTTTAGCTGTTAGATATGTAAATACATATGTGCAGGTCACTGAGTATGTGTTGTTATTTACTGATTCTTATTTTATGTAGATTCTAAGAAATTTGAAGCAGGCTTTCTGGCCATTCCAGTACGGCCATCGAAGTAATTTATTTCTAAGAGCAGCATATGCTGCAAACCATCCATTCGGACCTATTATTTCTGGAGAGAGCAGTTCCAACTCGTATGGTGGGTTTGAGATGGCATCTGCCAAGGCCGCTCAGCATAGGTTGGGGCGCGGAGTATGGACCTGTGCTCATTTTGGGGATATGCGGCGTGCATTGGCTGGTATGTGAATGTTTTTCTTCTTTAACTGTTTGAATATTTGTAGTATTATAGATGTAGATAACATGTTTTGATATCTTGCATGTAGACTTAGCTGATAATAAAGGACTGATGCTTGAAAAGGAAGATTCCATTTTTTAAAAGTGGTGATAGTGCTATTTTTGATGCGATATTAAAAATTTCAAGCGCAATGTATGTAAATAAGAAAGTATAGGTATAAATACATAAGAATTCTGTGCTATGTATGTAAGTGCCCCTTTTATGTAATGCCTTAATTGTCTTTATTTCAAGTTTTGACATCCCTAATAAATAACAATAAGTGCAAGGTAAATTAAATCTATTTATAGAGAAAGTATAGCACAAGGACTTTTAAACAGTCAAGCCTTTTCATTTGGCCTGTATCCATACCTAGGTCCATTGACCCTCGTGAATCCTTGTGTAGTTATCTAATATTTTTCAACCAATAAATGCACGAGGTCTCGGATCCCTTGTTACAAAGACTCAAGGATAGTCATTTCAAGTTTGCAATCGTGGAGAACATGCCAGCATCCATGCAAGTGGAGAAGCACGAAAAATATGCCAACTTTGAGGGGTTTATGAACGGTTCCAAGGCCTCTTTCTTACAAGGGTTGATTTTGACTGACAACAAGGATAAGGAGCACCACAACAAGCATCTCAATGGTTTAAGTAAATTTTAGACCACTGTTGGTTATTACATCAGGAAAGTTGAGTACCATAAAGGTCCAATATGTAAATGCATGTGATGCATTCGTTCTAAGATCGATGAGATCTTAACGAGACACCAGACACTTTTTACTTCTCAATAATTGAATATCTTCCCAAAAGAGGAAGGCTAGTGTGATGTGGAAAATTATTAAAGCACAACAAATTCTCCTTCTGGAGGGAAATTCTATACTTGGAGTATGATGTGACCAATGTTACAGGGCACGGTATGTGAAGGAACTACTACTACCTAGCAGAGGTTTTGCTGCTTATGTAGCAAACCTAATGCTTGGCTAAAGGATGAACTCCTCTTGCATAGTAGCCCCCTGTTGAGCATCAATGTTGAGCACAAGTTAGCACTTTTGTTTGCATATCCCAAGAGGTTGACTATTATCAATTAGTCCCAGCTAAATCCTTGTCCATTTTGTTAGGTGGCTTGTAATAGGGAGGGAGCCCACCAATAAATCCTCATAGACAACCTATCCTAACAAACAGGTTCATACCAAGCACCAACTTTACCCAAATCAATGTTGACTTCTACTCATGTTGTTGTGGTATATATATAAATAAGATAGAAGAACGATCTTTGACGAAGCGAAAAATAGAAACGGGAAAATTCACACCAGAAAATAGTAACACAACGGAACACACAAATTTATGTGGTTCGGCAAATTACCTACGATCACGGAGTTACAGAGTATTTTACTGCTTGAGGAATTTACACTAGTCGATCGTTTCAACTTACAGGAGAAAGTCTCTCACTTATTTGCTCTCTCTTTTTCTCTCTCAACACCGAGATACATCGAAGAAGATAAACTTACAAGATAAATAAATTCAATTTCTTTTCTGCCACAAGCCACCAAGAAGAAACCAAGGGAGAACAATCTTCTTCTTCTTTCTTCTTCCATCTGTCGCAAGAAACTACTCCTTGCACTTCTCTTCCTCTATCCCGTGGAAGCAGAATTGTCGAAGAAGAACACAAAAGAGGTCGTACCAAATCTGAAGGAGAGTTGCAAGATACATCGCAATACCTTTCTTCCTTTTCTGTTCGCAACTTAAAGGAGCAAGGCGAAACGAAGCTTCGCTTTGCGGGTGAAGGGAGGCGGCGTTTCGTGAATCTGGAGGCGGGAGCAGCGTTTTTCGCGAAACAAAGAGGAATCACGACTTTTCGCGATCGAGAGCGGGAGGCGGGTTGGGTGGACCGGGCTCCATCATGACAAATCTCTCACTTGGAGACTGGTCAACAGTCCACTACGTCTTCTTCCTCAAACTGATATCATCCACTAGCGATGTCACCCAAACATGAATCCTCCATCTCTGCAACTCTAAGCCTCTGTATTCACACCAGAAGACCAATTGAAGCTGCGTACAACTTCAGTTTATCAAGAGTAACACCCTTAGTTAACATATCAGTAGAGTCCACATAGTCTTGCACCTCCAAGCTATTTCTTAGGTTACTCTTATATATGCTTACAAGTCCCACTGCACGGACATTATCCTGCCTCTTCTGAAAGTATTTTTCAACAAGTCTAGTCTTATACCTCATATTGTCATTATACTCAATCTTCACCCGGTACACCCACTTGTTGTGTAATGTCTGCTTCCCTGATGAAAGTTTTGTCAGCTCTCACTTGCGCGAATTTTCATCTTGCAAGATTTATTTATATTTTTGTGGTTCTCTACTATATGTTTGTGGAATAATATAAATGGGTGCTCTGGTCCCAATTTCTTCACTTCCATCACTGTCTTGCACTATGGTCTCTGGTAGATTTTCTACCACATTCAAAGCTTCTTCATCTGTTAGATATATTTTCCCAAAATCACCTGCAACATAATTTTGCATCAATTTCCGATGGAATGTTGCATGGAAAGAAGCCCCTGAATCCAATATCAACTTATCAATAGAACTATGAACTGCCAGTAGTAGTGCATTCTGTACTTCTTCAGATACCACATTTGTGCTATCATTCTCCATTTTCTTGAAATTTATGCAGTTCATCTTTATGTAGTCAGCCTTGCTACAATTTCAGCAAGTTATTTGCTGACCAGACTTTGATTTTGATCTCCCCTATTTGAGTTCTTGTCTTGTGATCTCCCTCTGAAATCAACAATCAGTGTCAAACTCGTACCTAAGATCTCGCCAGAATCTTTTATGCGCGCCTCCTCAGTCAAAATCAAATCATAAATATCATCATATTTCAGTTTAGATTTATTTGCAGAACTGCTACTTGTCATTCTCATGGCTTTCTAACTATTTGATAATGATGCCAACAATATATGCTCACGTATTTTATTATTAAAATCAATTTCAACAGTCGACAATTGATTTGTGATAGTATTGAAATCATTTAGGTGTTGAGCAACATAAACACCTTCCGTTATTTTCAAGTTGAATAACTTCTTCATCAAGTGCACATTGTTATTTACCGATGACTTTTCATACATATCTGATAAGGCTGTCATGAGATTTGCAGTCGTCATTTCCTTGACGACGTTGTGTGCAATGGACCTTGATAGGGTCAATCAAATAACCCCCAGAACCTGTCGATCTAACAAATTCCATTCAGTCTCATCCGTCCTTTTAGGTATTTTCTCCAATAACGGAAAATGAAGTTTCTTACCATAGAGGTAATCTTGTATCTGCATTCTCTAATAACTAAAATTTGTGTCGTCAAACTTCTCGATCCTTGAAACCTTCACCTCATCTGTAGCCATCGTCTTTCCTCAGATCCAAAACCACGGGCTCTGATACCAGTTATTGTGGTATATATATATAAATAAGATAGAAAAACGATCTTCGACAAGGAAACAAAAAATATGAACGAAAAAATTCACACTAGAAAACAGTAACACAGCAGAACACAGATTTACGTGGTTCGGCAAATTGTTTACGTCTACGGAATTGCTGAGGATTTTACTACTTGAGGAATTTACACCAGTCAATCGATCTTTTCGACTTACAGGAGAAAGTCTTTTATTTCCTTGCTCTATCTTCTTCTCTCTCTATGCCGAGATACACTGAAAAAGATAAACTTACAAGAGAGATAAACTTACAAGAGAAATAAACCTAATTTCTCTTCTGCCACAAGCCACCAAGAAGAAACTAAGAGAGAACAATCTTCTTCTTCTTTCTTCTTCGTTCTGCCGCAAGGAACTACTCCTTGCACTTCTCTTCCTCTATCCCGTGAAAGCAATATTGCCGAAGAAGAACACAAAAGAGGCCGTACCAAATCTGAAGGAGAGTTGTGCGATTCTTCGCAATACTTTTCTTCCTCTTTTGTTCGTGACTTAAAGGAGCAGGGTGACGCGAAGCGAACTTTGCTTCGTGGGTGAAGGGAGGCAGCGTTTCGCAAATCTAGTGGCAGGAGCAGCGGTTTTCGCGAAATAGAGAGGAATCACGACTTTTCGCGATCGGGAGCGGGAGGCAGGTTGGGCGGACCGGGCTCCATCATAACACATGTGACTAAACAATGAATAATTTTTGTTCTGAGATATAATATCAAGTTGTGAATTATATTCATGTGAAATAAGATGGATCAAATGGCCCACTCAGCTTAGATATTTTGATCAGCTCAGGTGCCACATTACTCGGCATTTTAATGGTTGTTGTAGGTGTTATATCCAAACTAGAACACCATAGATGAATGCCAAAGCGAACAAATCATAAATATGCATCCAAGTTATTAGTAGAAACTCAAAATGACACCACGATTTGATTGATTTTCTAGTGCAACTCAAAATGCTCAGTTCCCCTCAAATTGAAATTACGAATATTAGCACAAGTGTTGGATAACATAACTGATGATAGAGGACACTGAAATTTTATGAAAACTCAGTGATGCTTCCATTACATGGAAGAGGGGCGTGCATCTTGCATGCTTCAATAGACGATGTTGACAACTCTAGGAACACTGTTGTCATCATAACATGCCTCTAATGTGACTCATGGAAGAAAAAATACGCAGAACATTTTTCGGGCACTCGAAACTTCTCACTTTGTTTCCAACTAATGTGTTACACATTTGAGCCCAATACAAAGAGAAGATTGATGATGAAATTTGCAACTTCTTATTCAGGCTTAAAATGGCTTTCTTGAAACTGCCAGAGAAGTTTAATCCTTGGTTATGGGTATAGGTCATAATGGGAGTGAGTTCTCCTCTATGAAGAATGGTATCACTTAGATGTGCACGATGGCTGAGTTTGATCCCATAGTAATTAAAACTATTCAACGCCTGTCTTAATAAAAATACACATTTTCCTGTCTCTAAATGTATAATTTGTTTCATCCCTTCTTGAGTTGCTTGGGTTCACCAATACCCTTCTATGTTCTTTTTCATTGATCTACTATGTTCTATATCAAATTCGATTTTCTACTTAAAAATATAAAGCCTATTTGTGATGGTCAATCATCTGAGATTTCAATACCAACTTATTTTGCAACAAACTAATGTGGGACTAAATCTTTGGCTTCATGTGCATTTTTAGTTTCTTAGAGTGGAATGAACCGTCAAACCATCTAATTTGTTGGCCTATCCCTATAAAAAATCCTTATTTTCTTAAATAACTTTTGACAGCTTGTGAGCGACTAATCATACTTGATACCGAGCCCAAAGATCTACGAGATTATGCAGTCCTTCTCTACCATTGTGGCCAATATGAAGACTGCTCAGACTATCTAAAATTGTATCAGAACGCACAGGTAAATGTTAATTGACATGAACAATAAACAATTTCATTACAGTTTGGAATTATTTTTTTTTTATTTTTCCTATCAAAAAGTATGTTTGGTTTGTGTTTTTAAGCTCTTTTTTTTTATTTTAAAAGCAAATCCTGCTATTTTTTATTTAATTATCATGAGCAAAATGGAGATGTTTTGATTTCCCGAGTCCTGAGCAGATTTCAGCAGCACAAATAAGGGATGTGTTTGAGGAAGACACTGTGAAGAAGCTGGCAGCTCGTGTAAATCTTATACTTGCTGAGAAAGGATGGAACAAACAAACAATTCATCAAAGTTTTTGGAATAGCAGTGAGCCATGGTAACTTCAATTCCTCCTTAAAAGTCTCTTCCAACAGCTTCCAACCTGCTATAGAGAAGAACACCACTTCTGACCTAAATTTAATCTCTTTTTATAAATAAAGTTAAGAATCATACAAAATATTTCATCAATGTAAAATTGAAAGCTTTGCCAAAAATTAATGCAATATCTCTTTGTTTCATTGCAAAGTTGTGACGACTACTTTGTTCAAGCCCTAGTAGAAGTGAAACACACATTTGACATTGCATAAAAAATAGCACTGTTACTAATTTTTGGGCTATGAGATGCATTCCTACATGATTGCTAATCAAATGGAAAAGTCATGGCAAGAATTTGAAGATGTTAAGGTGAGTTTGAATGCTGAATTCCAATGATTTTTAGAAAAAATTTAGATAATTATTGATAGAATACTAAAACTTTATGACATTATAAATATTTTTGAGTCTTTGCTTTTGGAGCAAAAATATAATAACTATATAATGTATTCTGATTTAAATTTTCGACCATGTTAGATGCCCTACATGGTGTTGAAATGTGGTTGCCTATCTCTCATAACCATCAATGAACCACCTAGAGCAAGGGTAGCTTCAATCAAGGTATCTTAAATGCTCCATTGCAAATTTTTTTGCCTCATCCCACTGCAAGGGCGAAATCATGTTACCCCACACCCTAGAATTTGAGATTTTTTTTATATGAATTATAAAATTTAATAATTTTTTTCTTATTTAATCTAGACAATTTAATAATGTTATCCTTTGATATATTTGTTTTTCCCAATATTTAAAAAAATTAAATATTTGGAGAAAATATTACGTATGGCATCTGCACGTCCGAACAACGGTATGGATGACTGTCGTGTGATTCACGGCAACATGACCTCATTCGGACCATTGTCCGGACATGCGGTCAACGTCCCGTTATATTTTTCTAGCATTTAGTCCTTCCTTTCCTTCCATACTGTGGTAGGAAGCCTCATAAAAGCTGAGTATTCATTTGACATCATGTTGATGATTGGGCTTGAATCTTCTTTAGTCATGAGGGCATATATTCATGTCAAATTGTACGATCCTGAAAAATGTGATATATCCTTTGAGAGGATGATATTCTAAACAAAGCTGAATCATTTTTAGGCATATTCCCAGATAAATTGGTTTGCATTATTAATATTGCCCCCATAGCACGTCAGAATTCACCATTATTCTGCTCTAATTTTGACATTGCTCACAATAGATGATGAATCAGGTATAAAGTAAAAAAATATTTGGCAAAAAATTACAAATATTAAAAAATAGTTTGTCATAGCTGTACCACTAAACTCTAAATTTTGGTATTTGTTTTGATATTAATTTTGTTTTTTTGTTTTTTTCTTTGTTTTTTTTAATATCTATTTAATGTATTTTTAATATATTTTTATTTTTTTTAAAAGAAAAATATATGCTTTTAAAAATATTCAAAATAACTTGTAGGTATTTTGAGTATTTTTAAAAATAATATCAAATATATCACGCATATTTTCTTTCAAATCAAAATATAGAAGAAATAAAATAAAAACAAAAAATAGAAAATAAAATAATAAAAGTAATTTCAAATAATCCCTTAGACTTCGAGGCCCGTTCGGCATCACCTTTCCTTTTTGGGTTTTTAGAAATATATTTGGTTGTTATAATTAAAAAAAGAAAAAATCAGTTTTTTTAAATATTCAGAACATCAAAAACAAAGATGTTTTTAATTTAAATTAAATTATAAAAAAAAAAAAAAAATCAAAAGTGGTCCTAAATAAACTGCTATTTTATGACAAAAGAATAAATCTTTCTTCGAGTTTGATATATTTATATATCGATCGAAAAAAGTAATTATGTTCAGCTCATTTACTTAACGTATAAAATAAATATAATTTATCAAACCAGCCAAACACGCGTTGTTGCCAAACAACTAAGCTTTATGACAGGCCTACAAATACCGCCTACTTTAATTTAATAAAAAACAAGTGCACAATCTTACTAATTCAATTATTATCTTACTGAAAAATATCCTCTTAAGAGAATAAAAGCCTCTACTAATTAAGACAAAAAAAATAAATAAAAAGATACAAACAAGAAAGTAGAAAATGTGACATGCTACAAACCGTGTTATACTGAAGAAAAAACTCAAGTATAATCGTGTTGTACTAAAAAAACACATGTATTATCTCTAAATCCGCAATAATGAGGACAAAATTCTCAGATATAATCGTGTTTTATATCATACTATAAACCCTTGCATTCAAATCATGTATTTTAAAATCAGTTTTGTCATCATCATAGTGGATTTAAGAATTATTTACATATTTTGTTCCATACAATACTGTTGTATCTAAGATTTTCTTAGTATAATCGTGTTTAATGCTATGCTATGAACTTTTTTTTTCGAATTTTTTTTTTAATTTTAGAATCATTTTTATCCTTTTGACAATAGATTTATATATTATTCGTATGTTTTTGTTCAGTACAATGTATTTGTGCATGAATTTTTCTTCAGTATAACCTTATTTTTATGTCATACTATGAATCCTTACATTCAAATCATATATTTTAGAACATTACAATTTAATAATACTGAACAAAATATGTCAATGATTCAATTTTAGATTATAAGCATAATATTTTTCATTCCCAAAAATTAAAGGTATTCATAATCCATCTTATGCGTATCCCGCCGCCCAATCCCCCAACGCACGCTCACAAACATGCCGTCGTCCCCACTGATCCACCTTTATCCCCTTTATAAACCCCTCCTCCTCCTCCCACACCAATCTCAGCAGAGAGCTTCGAAACAGAAAAATAACGGCGATGTTCCAAGCCAAGAAGGCCAGCAAGCTGAAGAAAGGGTGGCTGGTGGTGATCATCGGCGTCGACGGCGACGATGAAAATAGCGGCGATGGATGCCAGAGGTTCCCGATTCCCATAACCTATCTTCATCACCCACTCTTTCAACATCTCCTCGAGGCGGCGCACGACGCCTACGGCTACGAGATTAATGGCCCTCTGGCTGCCGTGCTCCGTCGATGAATTTCTTCGGCTGCGACGGCTTGTGGAGCGAGAATTCCAGACATGGCGGCGGTAGCTAAACCGTACATACATGCCAAGTAAATACTATGTACGTACTGTATTAGATATGTATTTAGATCTCTAATACCGTACATACACTCAACCCTTGTAATTTCCTTTCCTTCAAGTGTCCTTGCCGCCCTTCTGAGTTTGTGTGGAGGAATGGAGGGGAGTAGTTGAGAGGAGATGAGGACCCAATTTTCATTTAGGTGTGACATAAGTAAATTAATTTGGGTGTAAATGTAAATCTTGTCGCGTACATTAAAAGTACTGTCATTTTAATTTTATACAAGTGAAATATAGATTTTCATGTATAAATAAGGTGGTATCTATACATACATACCACCTTATTTATACATGAAAATCTGTATCACTTCTATAAAATTAAAATGACAGAACTTGGAAGTTAGATGCTATACATGTAAATCTTACTTGTATTTTGAGTCTTTTTGGTGCGAGGTTTTGATGTGAAGTGATGTGATGTGAAGTGTGTTTGAGTCGCATATTTATATAAATCAACTTTAGGCATGAGATAGATGCAATGAATTCAGAATGCTTGTGTCAGCTATGTCATGCAGGACGCAAAATTGGTGGTATTTAAAGGTTATCGTTAGATTTGCATCCGATTTTTTGCTTGATTTGTTCCGATGTTCAATTAGGGGTTGGTAATTTTATTTCCGTCTAATTTATGTTGAAATATTCTAACATTAATTATTTACTATGATTTCCACATCGTATTGGCGTCGAATTTGATTATATGTAACATACATCGGCATTTGCGTATGAAATATTAGACGATGAATATTAGCATCGGAATATTGTATAATTTGCTTTGCAAAATATCGTAGAACGACGAAATATTATTGTCGTTTTAACTTCGAAAATGGACGGAAATATAACTCAAACCTGTAACAAATAAAGAAAAATTACAATATCAGTTACATTTTCACAACCTGCACAAAAACACATTTCGCATCACATATAACATTAAACATAATCATATCATCTAACCAATGTGATTAATAAAAGAAAAATACTGTCACATGTTGTCCTAAATAAGAATAGTAAAGTTAATCCAAAAAATTCTATAACAAATATTTTATATAATGCTTACAAATAAAAGATGACAAAAAAAAAAAAACAAAAATCTCATCATCTCCATCCTCCTCCTCCTACACGGTTGTTATCAACTGCTTGCCTGACTATCTGTAAGGTCTCCACTATACTCGCTTATAGAGTCCTCGACTCTATGTTGGTCTTGTAGCATCTGCTCGTTCATTTTAGCCACCTACCTGGCAAAAGTCTCTTGTTATGGCTGTGAGGCGCTCTGAGAACTAAGAACGGGACCACGGGAAAGTTCAACCTCAAAGGCTATGCTCTTCGCTCTGAGGCCATAACACCCCCCGAATGCGCAGCGTAAACTTACTGCTACTACTATTGGCGTCAATCTGAGACTAAATGGCTAAGTGCCTCTCCCGGAGCTGCTCGAGCTCATCCTGCATAATGAAACCCTGTGTTTGATTGACACTTTCAACAGTTAGAGTTAAAATAAAATTTTAATTTAAGGTTTTTAACTTACAACATCCCGTCGGGAATATTTCAAGACCCACTGCATAGCCCCCGAGTGTTGATGAGTTTGGACATGCAGCTCTTAAACAGAGAAAGCATGCTCAACTCCTTAACCTGTAGCATACAAAAATGATTTATGCTAAAAAAAAATACTCCAAAAATTTAATTAATATTTAAATATCTACAAAAAAGTGCTCGTTATGGGGAATTGATCCGCCAATATAAAGCACTGGCCTCCTTCTTCACCCGGTTCGCTCGATTCATTTGTCTCCTCTCATAATCAGGAGAGGCCCAAGTTAATATCAACCGACCCCAGAGCTCCTCACAAATCCAAACAGGCCGCCCTGAATCTCGAAGATCCAATGGATCCAGTGGTGTTGCTCTAGGAGCTAGGTGAAGGACCTCTGCAATGTCAAAAAATAATATATGCCTTAGTATAAAAAGTAATAAAAGAAGGCAAATCTTATTCAAATTACATTATTTTACCTCAAACTCCTTAAACCACATGTCACTAGTGGCTACAATTATCGACTTCCACAACAAATAAGGCTCATCGTACCTGCTTCTGATAATCTCTATGATGCAGGTGACAAACAGCTTATGGGTAATGAATATGCTTAAGAAACAAATTAGTTATAAAAAAATATATAACACGAAGAATAATCATGATACACTGATAAAAATAACTTTAAAGATAAATTACTATTTATTATTTTTATTCTCACTATTGTTAATCATGCAAATAAAGTCGATGCATTTCAAGTTCTTAACAAAGAATGTTGAAATGAGTAATGCTTAGTTGGCTAAGGCTTAACGGAATATTCTATTATCATTTCTTAGTATAAATCCATATTTTTTTAAGAGAAACTACATTATTATAAGTAATTGAAAACTTTATTACATAGTACATAATTCTTATTTAACAACATACCTAACACCAAAATTTTACTATTTATTTATATAACAAATATAAATCCTTAAAATTTTATTAAGAATATCATTAATATTATTTTTTAAAAAGTGAAATGTTATATTTTTTATGCATATATTTCTATATGATTATAACATTAAGGACTTATATAAATCAATATCTTCATTGTGATTGGAGACAAAGTACCTAATTACTAAGCCCAGAGATTGCACTAATCTTAATCATCAATTATAACTCTTGGAATCTAAACAAATAATAAATAAATAAAAAAGATCAAATCTAGCCTTACAATAAAGTAGGGCACATGTTGAGACAGATTATTTAAATAATTAAGTAAGCTGATCATATATTGTATTGCCTTTCTCAATTATAGGTCATAACATTATATAAATTAAAGCAAGATCACCATCATTTTGGGCTTATAATGATTTAGTGGTGGTTGCACTTCCACTATCATTACGTTCCCTTTAATAAGTAATATATGTGTTTTAGAAGTGTGCTTTAGAGTTGCCTTGTTAAGTATAAAATTTAGCCATCATATAGGCTTTATATGATTCTTGTACTTTTATATCCTTTCAAGTGATTTGGAGCTATTAAGTCCAAAAGCTAATTTCATTAACTATTTTGAATAAAATTTAATCTTGAATTTTAAGATCGGCAACTACCACAAATCCATAACTAAATACTATCTCAAAATCCTAAATCATGTCACCATAAATACCTAAATGAAGGCTATCATAAAAGTCTACAATAGAGGCCATAAAAGTCTTCATTGTTAGTTAGTAATTAATGTTATAAGATAAATATCTTTCAAGTAATCATCATTTTGTATAACAACCACAAGAAGAAGCAATAAAGCAATGAGAGGATAAGATAAAAGAAGATAAAGGAGTATCATTCATGTAAAAAATAATTCTTTTTTATGCTTGCAAAGTTCAATTCTCATATTTGCAGTAGATGATTGTATTGTCATATATTTCTCTGAAAGCACATAGATTATATGATCTATGGGGTACTATTGAGTATAAGGAATAGTGAATATTTGATCTCTATGACATTTTAAAATATGTTTTTTACTTTTTTTTTTTGTCCATAAATTGTCTGAAAGAATCATTTTTTTAATTGCTTTCTGAATAGTTCAGAACTATTCAGATAAACCTTTATGTCAACATATTACTCAGCCCCACTATCCCTCATTTAACCCAATCTCAAATCAATTTAAGACCATCTTATAGGCTTCTCAACTAGGGAAGCAATAGTGGATAAAGAAGGAAAAAAGGCTGTTAGTATTGTGCAAAGATTTATTTTTATGTGCTAAAAAAACTCAAAGAAAGTTTAAAGTTTAATGATGAAGACAAATGTAAATTTGAATTGTACACCATGTTTAACACCAAATGCAGAGCAAATAGTTTATTTCACCAAGTTTCTTCCTGCACTTTCATCTATTTGAAATGTAGAATGAATATAAACAAATAAATGAAATCAGAAAAAAAAAAAAAAAAAAAAAACTTAACTTTGATTCACCAAATCATAAAACTCTATGAGAAGAAAATAATGCAATGATGTAGCAGTTTTAATGCACATAATTGACAATTTTGCATGTGTGGTGCATGTGTTTAGGTGTGTGAAAATAAATACTATAATAGTTCTAGTGCGCATAATTGACATTTATACATGCCATATTTTGCTTACATCATATCATATTAATTTTTCAAAGAATGACATGGCATGTATGACTTATAAGAAATTATATATGTATATATATATATATATGTATATCCGAAAAATTGAGCCCAAAAGATAATATGTGTGATTTGAAGTGTAACTAGAAATTAAACCCTCAACAACTATGTTGGAGGAAAGTGAGTGCACACACGCACATGTACATAAATGTACACACACGCGCACATGAATCTATGTATAAACTGAAAAATTACATAAACCTTCTTGAAAAACCTGCAAGAGGATGGATGTAATGGATTACCAAACGACAATCTACACTCAAAAGATCATACAATAAAATAAGTAGTAAAACCTACCCAAACAAAGAACTCTAAAAGCAGCAAGCTTTCTTCTCCATTGTTCTGCCTCCTTCATCCATGGAATTTCAGAAACAAACATTATAAATTATCAAAAAACATCAGAGTTATCAGAACATTCCTGCGCGCATTTCTTTTTTCCTTCTGAGATGAAATCAAAGATATCAACTTTCACTAATCACTGTTGATGAGGAAAATTAGCTTCGCCGCTCAGAAAAATGCTCTGCTACCATAGAAAACTCTGGATCCATCCTTCTTATTTGAATCCAATTTCTTGTTCCCTTTCTGGCTCTGGATCACATCTTCATCTTCCTCAGGCTTTGGGTTATCTAGATCCATTGGAAGCTTCATCTTTGCTAAAGACTCTGTGAATTGCTGCATGCTCTTCATATACATGTCCACTATTTGCTGCTTAATTGCACTCTGCTGAGCCTCTATGTTGATGTTCCCAAGCGGATACTTGAAAACAGAACCCAATTCTCCATCTTCGCCGTCGCCGCCGACGCCATCTTCCTCTTCCTTTGCTGAACCCTTTGTGCTTCCCTTACCAGATTTGGAAGTAGGAGTATCAGGAGAAGGCCCTTTGGAAGCAGAGCAGCTCACAGTGTTTAAAACTTGTCTGTCATCACTGATGCTTGTAATGGTTGAAGTACTGAACAGACCAGAATTTTGAAAGCTGTTTTCATCTGGAGACTCATTCGAATTCACAGTCATTTCGCAGTCCTCTATGGACTCCGACGATCCACCGAGATGAACAAAAGGAACAGGGGAGGCGCCGACTGAAAAGTACTCAGAAACCATCTGAAGATTCTCCTTATCCACATTGACTTCAGGAAACTCGATTCTCGCCGGATCAAGAATGACAAACTCCGAGCTTATGGAAGATGAATTGCTGATGCTGGATTCTAAACACGACTTTTCGTCAAATGAGAGGGTTAGCTGAACGGTGCCGGCTGGGGAGTGGAACAGGTCGGTGGAGGAAAGGGAGAAGTCCCGTGTCAGACGGCCGCCGCCGGATTCTGCGACGTCGGAGAGAGGGACGAGAGCGAAGCCGAGGAGCTGATCTTCGAGAAAGTTGCGCGCGCGGCTCAGCATCCATATCTCACACTTCAGAACTGCGGCCGCGGGGTTGGGGAGCTTGAGTTGGAGTTGGAGTCGCTCGTTAAACTGCGGATTCTTACCGCCGCCGTCGATGATGCGGGTGGAGACGGCGTCGTCGGGATTGCAGGTGAGGGAGAACTTGGCATATACATCTTGGTTTGCGTAGATGCAGATGTTATGAATGTTGCGTGCATGGTGGATGTATATGTCGAGCGCGCCGGCAGAGGAAACTCCGCCGCGGCCGTCGCTCTGTGATTCTAAGCAGAAACGAGGGGGCACTAACCCGCTCTTGAAGGGCTCCATTCTGAGAGAAGAAAGAGTTGTGTTAAAAGAAAAAGCTGCAATTTTTACAGTAGTTATGCCGAAAAGATACCTTCTTTCTTCTTCCTGATTCAGTCCGACCACCTGGTGATGAAGACTTGTTGGTGAGAGACGAAGGCTAGAGGAATCCTGGGAAAAATTTCTTCTTTCTTCTTCCTGATGCTCTTCGGCCACGCATGCTGATGAAATGTTTGGTGTCCGTTTCTGCAAATTTGTCACTTTTAGGAAGGGAAGGGATGGGGGGATGGTGGCGAGGGTGGTTGGATGACGGATGACTGTAGTGCTCCGCACTGAAGCTTGCGCGAGAGAGACGTGTCAGATCCACCAAAGAGGAAGAAAGGGTCCCGCGCGCGCGCGCACTGTCTTTGAAGTGGGGGCGATATGACTCTGTGGTGGTTGTTGCATCCACAAGGTATCTGTGAATGTTTTCAAAAGCATGATCTCATTTTTAAAATTAGAAAAAAAAAAGAAAAATTTAAATATATATCACATATTTTTAAATATTTAACATATCTATTGCCCAAAACTTAATATTTGTATTCTAACCCCCTAAGTATTATAAACTTATGCATAAAAAATATATATTTTATTTTTAAAAAGACAGCAATAATAATGTTTTTTTATATGTTGTTAAAAATTTAGGGTTTAGATGTTTGTAAATAAGAGTATCAAATTTGGCTTGATCATACTACAAATTATTCAAATTTGGCACAGGTTCGAGTTGTTCTATTCATATGTATGCTTGAATTTTTCGGAATGATCTAAATTCTAGCTTGAATTATGTTTTGTTTGTATAAACTAGCTAGATGTATATTAATGAGTTAATGAATAAGCATTAAAAGATTATGAGGTGATAATCATATTAAATATAATAATATAGTTATAAAAATGCAAACAATTCAATAAGCATAGTATTATTTTCCAACTATCCACACAAATTAAATAAGCAACAATAAAATAAGATAATATTAGGAATAAAAAAGATTTAAGGGTTGAAACAAGGACTTAAAAGAATGCATAGAATACTGCAAATTGTGAAGGTGAATGGTGTGTTGTAGGTGTACTGAGGGCTATTAGGTATTAGATGTTGGTCAAATAAGGAGAAGAAGATCTGTCTGAAATATATTTAGAAAATTTTCAAGGAAATAATAACTAGAATTTCAAATGTATTTTAAGTTGTCAAGTTTAAAATCTTATATCATAAACTACAAACATAAATTAAATAAAAGAAAAGTAGTTAAGTTGCCAAAATTCATTCCTATAATTTAAACAAAATGTTAAATAGTTGATGTAAATTGGTTCTAATGGATTTCTAATTCCAAATCAATAGTCAAATATTTAAAAACTTGGTTGAAACATATGATCTTGTGAGAACAACTTATTAATGGATCTGATTCAGTATTATTGAAGTTTTAGATTCAAAGTATTAGGCGAAATAACTTGACTTCTTATCAATTTTGCTGTAATATTCATCAATTCAAAATTTGACGATAACATCCTAAAAGCTTCTACATCTATCAGTGCTTGAACTTGGACGTGGTTAATAGCTAAACGGCTAGGTTGCTTACTCCAGCTCAACCTCCCATAAAAGTAACATGGCACATTATAGAATCACTTTTTTTGTGTATGTTTTAAATCCTTTAATTGTAATCAATTATACACCTTGTTGAGTATCCCTTAAATTTATGAATAGGGAGTCAATGCTAATGTTTAAGGACATGTTCGTATGTGTGAAGAAAAGAAAATATAAGCAACTTGACTCAAAAAACCCACCTACATACTCTTTTGATTATCTTCATGAACATTCAAATCCAAATAGCCTTTTTCTCTCAAAAACTCTTTCTTTTCCTCTCTCTCTCTCTCTCTCTCTCTCTCTCTCTCTCTCTTCTCTCACTGTTCTTATCTAGATTGTGTGAACTCACTAATAATTTTGGATTCAATACCAAATAATTGCAAATTCATTCATAGGAAAAGAAAAAAAACTTTAATAAGAAGTATTGATTCAAGAATTTCTTTATACATAATATCTTAAGGCTTAAGGTTTAACAAAGATATTCCTCATAATAAAAGTAAAATAGTGTATCCATCTTTCCTTTCACTAATTGAATTTTATATCCAAGACAACGCAATAATTAGATAAGTCATATTTAAGAAAAAAAAAGATGATAATTAAATATAAGACAATATAAACACAAATGATTTAAGTGGTTTGATGCTAAGGAACTTTCATTCACAAGAAGTAAATAGTGCAATATTTATTGTTAAACCACAATTCAAATTATAAGATTATAATCTTACTCAAATCAGGATAAAATGTCCTATGCCTAATTATCCATAGAACATTTTGATTGAAAAATCAATATAATGGAAGCATGGAGAATTCTATTTCTTCATAATTTGAAATGAAACCTATAGCAAACCCTTGCTTTCGATGGTTCCTAAAGATCTTAATTTGAACTAGAATCTCCATTTAAAAGAAAAAAAAAAGCTTAGCATAACTTATTACAAACTTCCTTCTTGATCTCAATCTCCATTTCATGTTCTTGTTGTCCTATTTGATCTCCCTAAGATCACTGGAAGAATTGAAACCCTTAGATTGCCTCTTTTGCTCATGTCATTAGATCATCATCTTTTATTTTTCCTTGAATCTCCCGACAACTCTAGATCATGATCCCTCCTAATATTATTAGGTTGCACATATATAAGCCAATTTGATCCTTATAGAAAAATTAATAGAAAAGAAGCAACTCAAATAGCCAAACTAAGAAACTGAGTGAGAAATAAGCAACATCTAAGGTAATAAAAATTAATAAACAACAAATCAATATAAAAGAGAACCGCTGCACATTCAATAACATAACACTTTCTAAATACATATATTTGAGAAGATGCATCGAAGGCTAAAATGGAGCATTTCATAGACTATGCTCCCGACACATTTGTTGTATTCTACTCCTAATACTTGGATATTGAACATAACTCTAACAACATGCCCGCTTAAATGAAACTATTGTGACCTCAAGTGACCATATAGTGAGATTAAAGGTGACATGTGTGCTAAATGATTTGTAAAAAATGAAAGGGAAATAGCATAAAAGGAATACATAAGAAAGTATGACGTGAGTTATATGCTTGGAGGAGCCTAACGTGTGTACTGCAAACATTCGGAAACTCCGAGAAAATTTTAAGTCCGGAGTTCGGACGCAGCTCTGTCCCGTTATATCACGTCCGTTATTCGGACACAGCTCTACGTCTGGACTTTCGACACAGAGGCAATGGAAGATTATTAACTAAAATAAATAAAGCATTTTTTTTAAAACTGTGGGAGGGCACAAAAAACATTATTTTTCAAATAAGAATATTCTTAACCTTTGCCTGCGGATTCAATTACACACACTATCTGGCATTTGAGGTTTTGTGGATGGTATAAGCTCCACGACGGCGAGGACTGTTGGAGCTACAATGTTGATCACTTATTTAATTTAATTTAATTTAATTTAATGAGGATAATTAAGATATTTTATATATATGTGTGCATTATTTATTTGATCCATATGCTACTTTTTTTCTTAATCTATTTTTATAACAGTTTCAGAAAGCATCAAATCTTAATCTTATATTTTAAAAGAGCATTTATGTACTTACCACCTAATTCCTATGTTTTTATATATGGCAGAACCAGGCTAATGTGGGTGGGGGGGTTAAGGCAACGAAAGACGAAGTGGTCTATCATAAGGGGCAACATTGAAGTTTTAAAATGTGAAATGATCAAGTTGATTTCTCATATAAGTAAAAATCTGAATTTGAGGGGACTCATTGCCCCCTGGACCCTTTCTGAGTCCGATTTTGCTAACATTTAAAATTTCTTTTTTTACATTTATACCAAAAAAAAAAAATTGATATAACGTAAATAAATTGCCATTTTAATTTTAAAATAATGAAATATATTTCTTCATGTATATAGAAGGTGGCATGTATATATATATATATGAAAAATAAATTTTAGGTGTTCAGTTTGTAAATAGATAGGAATTGAGTGGTATTATGTAATTCTTCCTAATTTTCAAATTACAAATGTTTTTTTTATGATGAGGATTGAGGAATGGGTGGTGATGGACGACCAGTGCCGATATGACGGCGTTAATGACGCAAAGATTACAGCTTTTGTATTTCTCCGGTGGGACCTTAACGGAAGATTGGGTCAGCCAATGTCGGAAAAATTGGATAAAAATAAAATCCAAGAAATGGCCAATGATGAGCTCTTAATAGTTAGGAAAATCCTGAGGGAGAGAAAGAAAGAAAATAACAAAGGAAAATCCATTATTTATTAAGTACAAAATAAATTAATTAGTATATATGTTGGATCCCAATTTGTTCGGTAAAATGTGCCCAAGAAATAGAGCTCTGGATCGAGAGAAGAAGAGTGAGGAGAAAGAGAGGGAGAGAGAGAACAGGAAGACTTTTCACTGGCGGGGGGAAATGAATGTTTTCAGGTTCTTTGACCTCTTTTATTCCACATGAGGATTGAGAGCCTCCCTTTTACATATTATAACCTCTCGTATTTATGGAAAGAGGAGATAGATGAATTAAATAAAAGTACACTTACTTCAAGGAGGGCAATACATGTGTATTTAAGCCCGCTGATCTTGAGCCGTCCGATCGCCTTGAGATTTATGATGACAAGGCAACCTTTTTTGTATAGTGTTATCTAACTATTTGTTTATACTTTTTGTGTATTATCATACCTAAAGATGATGAATATTTTATCTTTCATACACATTTTCTCATGAGTGTTGGTATTGAAGGAGAGAGGTTTAGGTGGCATGCACATAAAATCTTTTTTAGTTAACAACTGTTCAGATGGGGGTCGTCCGATGCTTGAGATGAGCGGTTGGTTGAGGAAACTAGCCGGCTGACTAAGGATCAGTTTGTCAAAGAGATGATTGGTTGTTGTTTTGCACGGCTAAATGAGACCAACTGTCTAAAGCTTGACGGTAATGATACTTCTCAAATGGTAGGTGTTCGGTTGTGCAGATGTCGGTTGACTGAGATAAAGTGAGTTGGCGAGCTGAATGAGGCCTGCCTGCCGATGCTTGAGTGGGCCAACAACTGATGGGCAATTGAAGTGAGGCGGCTGGCCAAATAAGGCTTGCCGAATGAGGCTGGTTGAAGAAAGTAAACAGATGGTCCACTGACTGAATACCAGCCGAGTGTCACATGCGGGGGGAATGTCGGTGGGGGCTTGGTCTTCTGCTTGTGCAAATCAGTTTGCGACATAACGTCATTTTTTTAACATCATTTTTCAACTATACAATATATATTGAATGTTGAGTGTAAGGAAATTAAGGGCAATAAAGGGAGTTTGTGTCCTAACTCTAATTAAGGATTACACATCCCTATAAATTAATGAAAAGAGCATGCAAAATAAGAGCACTTATTAGTCTCTTGCGATTGTGGCATACATAGTAGAGAGCCATAATAGTGGTTAATGATGATGTTTGGATTGAGATGATTGGATGATCATGATGAAAATATAATAATTAGATGACACGCCAGGTATTAATTAGAAGATGATGATTAGATAATGATGATCATACAACAACAATTAAGAGATGATGGTCTGATGCAGCTGTCAGGTGATGATAGTTGAATGAGGACACTCAAGTAATGATAGTCAAATGATGGTGGTTGCTTGTTAGTAGTTAAATGATAGTGTTTGTTGATAATAGTTGTTATTGTTGATTGTTGGATGAAGTTCGAAAGTTATTTGGATGGTTGGACGATGGCAATCATAATTTAACAATTAGATGTTGCGTGAGATAGTAGTAGGAAGATGATTATTAGATAATGATAATCAAATAATAATAATCAGAAGATGATGATAATTCAAATAGGACATAACTGAGAAAAGAAATTCATGTAACTGATCCTACTTAGTAACATATAAATTTATTGTTATATAAAATTCCCATCACATTTAAAAGCCGCAGAACCGACTTAGGGCACGATTTATATAAAGTTCGAGTATATTTGCTTGCCCAAGGCCAGACTACGTACAAAATTTGCGTAGAAATATCGAAGCTACCATTTTCCGGTATTCTCTTTTCTTTCTCTCTCATCACTCTCGGTCGTCCTCTTTGTACTGGTGTACACTTTATCTCCCCCCGCCCCGCTTCCGTTCGTCGCTCCCACCGTCCCCCTTCCGTTCGTCGCTCCCCCGGCAGCTTTCGATCATCCCGTCCTGTCCCATCTAAGCGTAGACCATGGAGGCTGAGGTGGGAAGTGATATAAGCGCCGATTTTGGGAAGCTGGTAATTATTCTTCCTTCGATCTATGTTTCAAGCACGTTCTTCTTGTTTCCGTGCTGAGAGATTTTAATTTTTGGGGGTTTTGAAATTTTTTAGTGCGGATCTGATTGTTTCTGATGTGTTTGCCCTATGCCGCTTTGTTTGATTAGGTCGCGGGGGAGCGGGAAGATTTTAGGTGGACGAATTCGGGGGGTTTGGTTGAAGGTGATGTAGTCTGCGCCATCTGTTTGGAGAAGGTATTGATCCAGGAGACCGCTCTTGTAAAAGGTTGCGAGCACGCTTACTGGTTTGTTTTTTTTTCTTCTCATTTTAGGGTTTCTGCCATTTTACTTCATTTATTTTTTTTCTGGGGTTTTCTGTTTGCAGCAAGTTTTGATGCGTACACGAGTGTAGGAAGAGCAAGTTAATTAGTTTTTTATGATGCTTTTTTGGTATAAGAAGTGATGACAAATGCCAAATTTTTCCTAACATTGCCTTAGAAGCGGTGTAAGCGGGAGAATTTAAGCAAATTTTTTGTGCTTGAGCACCATTATACAATTGGGTTTTGTTATCTTAAAATCAATTCTAAATTAGACTAGCTTTATGTTGGTCACCGGTTAAAAGTTGTCACTGAATATTAGGTAGTCATTATCATGACACATTTAGTTTGTTAACCCCCCTACTGTATAATTCTTAGCATTATTATTGATGTGTGCCGGGAGATTCGTGACAATAGAGTGGTTATTTAGTGTTTTTAGCATTGCATGAAAATTCAGCACACCCTAAGGTACTTAGTATGACAGACAGAGACATTCGAAGTTTTTATATGGAAAACCCTGAAAAATATAAATAATCATGAGGCCTAGCTGAGTTGAAATAATAATTTGAGTTAGTGAAGGTGAAATTACAAAGTTGATGTACAATAGTATTTAAGTAATAATAGTGGTAATGGGTCGTGAAGGTCGTAGTTGATTGCTATGGAGATAGTAGTCTGTCGTAAATGTTGTAGATTGTAGTTGTAACGCCATATATTTGTAGAGGTCATAGTTAAAAGTTATGGTTGCAGTTGACCATGTGGACTGTTGATGCTTTCAGAGCATCAGTTGGTCACAAAGGTTGTAGTAGGGAGTTGTGGGAGTTGCGAGTTGGGTAGGTCATAGTTGGTCACATAGGTCATAGTTGGAAGTTATAACACTTATAGGCTGCATAGGTCATAGTTGGGAGTTGCGTGAGCTGTGATAATGTTCGAATCCGTAGAGACTAGAGTTGAGAGCTGCATGACTGTGAAAACGTTCTTAGGCCACAGAAGTTGAAGTTGGGAGTTGCATGAGTTGTGAACTACATAAGCTGTAGTTGGTCACGTAGGCTGTACTGGTGGGCTGCAATGAGAGAGCTTCAGAAGTTCGAAGGAAGTCGGTGTATCTTGGAGTGCATTGTTACGTTAATTTTGGGATGCATCACTGCATCGTATGTGGAGTGTGTCGTTGCACTGTATGTGAAACATGTTGTCGCATCATATCCAGGGTGCATTGTTACATTATCTTTGAGGTATGTCACTATTTTGGGATGCTTCGTTGCACCGTATGTGGAGTGTGTCGTTGCACTGTATGTGAAACATGTTGTCGCACCATATCCGGGGTGCATTGTTACATCATCTTCGAGGTACAACACTATATTGACCTCGGGGTGCGTCCTTGCACCGATCCGTAGGGTGATTCGTTAATCCGCAATGTACACCGAGATTTTGCAAGGGACTTCGGAGCAACAAACAGGGGGTACCCCACGGTGTCGACGTCGATCGACTAGCGATGGTTAACAACGGTCTACAGTTGGGTGACATTCGTTGGACCTTCGGTGTGTAGCACTATACCACAGCTCCTCCTCCAAGTCCCGAGCTTATTACTGTTCAAGGACTTGGCCCTCTTTAATGAATGTTGTAGGGCTCTATTTACCAAGTAGAAGTGTCTCCTGAAAAATAAAGAAAGAATCTGGATCGCTCCATTGGACCACCAATAGAGATTCCATTGATTAAACGTTTTATGGACATTTGAATACCTTAACTGTGTCAAAATTGAGTGTTCTTGGGATTTCTGAATTATTTCTCATCAAGATGCTTGATTTGACTATAAAATTATAAGATTTGTAATATGTTTGACGTTTCAATTGAGCGCTAGAAGCTTTCAAAAATAATTTAAGGGCTCGATATGGGCTTGATTTGAATTAGATTGTCATTGCATTCATCTTGTTGAGCCGGTCAGGTTGACTGTATGTTTCCCTAAATTGAAGTTTTGGATGATTTTTAATTAAACTTTAAACGTTTCTTGCTAAAAAATTTTATCGAGATTCATGCCACCTCTCGAGATCCTTGCCAGATGAAGAAAATTTGTTGATGCCGTATCAACTATCAAAGCGCTCTTTTCTTCAACTCAATGGCAGTGATGGCTTTCTGTAAGGTCATCCCCGTGAGAATGCCTTCCATGGCTAATTGGCTAATCCCTATGTTTCATCAACACAGGCTACTTTACTAGTGTGTGTAAGCTTTATAAAGCCATATATGGCTTCAACCAAGCAGCTCACAACTAGTATTTAAAGTTACAAAACTTTCTTAATGCTTATGGTTTCATTAAATCTCTATTTTATGCATTTCTCTTCATACTCAACATTGGTGGTACACATATCTATCTTTTTGTTTGTGCTGATGACATCATTAGCAATTTATCATAGTTAATCTTGACATTGTCTTGTAACATTTTTTCACCCTTTTTATCCAGTGATTCTCTATCATGGTTTTTGTAACATTGCATTATTTTTTTGGTGGTGGAACACTTGAATTTTATAAAGCCATATATGGCTTCAACCAAACCGTTCACAACTAGTATTTAAAGTTACAAAACTTTCTTATTGCTTATGGTTTCACTAACTCTCTAGTTTATGCATTTCTCTTCATGCTCAACATTGGTGGTACACTTATCCATCTTTTTGTTTGTGCTGATTACCTCATTATCAATTTATCATAGTTAATTTTGACGTTGTCTTGTAACATTTTATCACTCTTTTTATCCAGTGATTCTCTATCATGGTTTTTGGAACATTGCATTATTTTTTTTGGTGGCGGAACACATGAATTTCATCATGGTTTTGATTTATACTTATCTCCTTTCTAGCACTAAGATAATAGGTGTCATCTATATATTGTCAGCTTGTGCAAACATATTCCAAATATATAAACAAATACACACATATATTTACAATGTCTTAAAGAAATAAGCAAACAATTATTCAGACCTCTAAGTGTATAAGGCTCATTGTCTATATGTTATCAGCGTTTAGATTAATTTAAGAATTCCATAATTTAACTTTTTTCTATAGGATACAATATGATTGTGTGGAATTATGGATTTGTTGGCGAAAAAAGGAAATCCTAAAAATAGTTTGATTAATAAACCATGTATTTTTTTTTCTTTTGCAATGTAGATACACTCAACTGTGTTGGAATAAAACTAATGAGAACTGGAGTTCTATTGTGGTTGGAAGTCAGAGCTCTTTCATTCCTACAGTGTGGGTATTAATTGGTAATTAGACAAATGATTCAAGAAAAACAGGAGAAAAAGAGATATGATTAAGAATGTAAAAGATTTATGATTCGCCTTCAATAATCTGCACTTAAAGTGGCATTTTTTTATTTCTTTTGCTAAACATTGATTTAGTTCTGACTAGTTTTATGGTGCCCCCTAATTTGTCTGCACAATTCTCAAGAAAATTGCATTTTAATTGTTTATTTATTTTGGGAACGAGCGTTGCTCTGTAAAAATTTGTTATTCCTATGTGGTATCTCTCAGTTTCTCTAAGTTTATGACTGATCAGATATATCCCTAAGCATTGTAAGTATATTAATGCGCAAGAAATAGACAAGCGTGCAGTGTTTATGAGAGGGAAATGTACATACATACCACACAATTCTTTTATATTTACATATATTTACATACCTAAAACCTAAACTTTCATATTTACATTTATAATACTTTGGTGTGCTAAAACTATGCATGAAAAGGTGCATTTAACTTCTTAAAAGTAGATGATAGTGATGTTTTTCATGTGATATTAAAGACTTGAGTGCTATGTATGTAAATATTAAAGTTTGGGTGTTAGATATGTAAATACACAAGGACTGTGTGGTCTGTATATAAATGCCCCTTTATAAAAAAGATCCTTCTTGAAACATTCTCTTAAAGTTGTGGCATGAAGAAGTAAATAATTTACATTTGTTTAGCAACAGGATTTAGTTTGACCTTATGGAGGAATGAAGAGGATTTACAAGATTTGATCTTTTATTCCTGTCTTATAATCTCTTATTTTAGGTTTGTATGATGCCATTAAGTGCTAGACTTATAATATGGTTGATACAATCCTTTTGAAGAACAGCAATTTGAAGATTTTAAATGGATATATATATATATAAAATAGTTTAGACTTTGTATACTTAATTCTCAGTTTTGTGAGACTGGATGTGATTTAATATACCGCTTTTCTATTCTTGTGAAGTACATCGTTAGAACATATTGGGCGCATCTTCTGATTTTCGGCACTAGATAATTCTTATCATCATAAAGTAGAAGAAATATTAGTTTTTATTAATTGAATTACTTTATTATTTGGGAAATTTGCATACATACCACACAATTCTTATATATTTACATATCTAACACCTAAAGTTTGATATTTACACTTTTAACACCTTCGTGTCATAAACCTATGCATGAGAAGGTGTAGTTCACCTTTAAAAATGTTCTGCTTGGGTTTATTTTTGACGTGGTGTTAAAGATTTGATTGGTATGCATGTAAATATGAATGTTTAAGTTTTAGATTTGTAAATACGCTAGAAATGTGCTGGTATGCAACTATGTATGTAAATGCTCCTTATTATTTTTATCCTTGTCGTTGAACAGTTTGACATGTATCCTAAGATGGGCAACCTACAAGGAGAATCATTCGTGTCCCCAATGCAAGCTTCCATTTGATTTCTTGAACGTCCATCGTTCTCTTGATGGCTGGTACTGCTGTCACTTGTTTCTTTTTTTTTGCTTCAGATTGATTGATTATTCATCATCAACCTCTGATCTTCTTCCCGGATACAGTATCCATGATTACATGTTTGAAGAAAGTGTCTGCCTTCTTCTTAGAGCCACCTGGTTCATTCCTCTTGCCATAGAAGCTCAAGAAAATAATTGCGAAGAGGAAGAAGACCTGTCTTCTTACTACTATGATGTACAGATTGAAGATGAAGAAGATGATGGAGAAGATGAGGCTTATTTTACCGGAGGTTCATCCAGAATCCGAATTGGCAATAGGAGGTGGGGAGACAATGGTTTTGTGAGGGATGGACGGAAGGAAGCGAGGCCGGTGAACCGGCAAGCACCGGAGGAGTTTGAAGCTGGTCCGTCTCGCCGGCCAAAGATGAAAGAAGTTGCCAGTAAAGCTCCGCCGCCTGGCCGACGGGCTAAGAGAGCTCTGCGGAGAGAAGCTGAAGATAAGGCTGCTGCTACCAAACACCAGCAACATCTTCAGAGGTTAGGGCTAAAGTAATACTTTACATGTAGGGGATTGTTTGGCTGCCTAATCTCCCACTGTACAGTATATCAACCTTGTTGAATAAATCTATTATGTAATTTCTTTTTACTATTATATAGTTAAAAGAAAGAAATTAGTTGTAATATTTCAGTTCCTGTGAATCAGCTTAAACATTTTGTATTTATTTATGTTACATTAGGCAGTTACTTAAATTTTATTGTGTGATATTTTGAAGACGGATTATAATCTAAATGGGATTCTGGATATCCTGTTCTTACTGAAAGGGGCATTTACATCCATAGCACACAACCTTTATGTATTTATATATCTCACACCTATACTTTTATATTTATACCGCACATAAATCTTTAATATCACATCAAAATTATCACCTTTTTCATGCATAGATTTAAAGCACGAAAGGGCTGTGTATCTAAATATGAGGTGTGGGATGTATAAATACATAAGAATTGTGTCTACGCATGCAAATTGCCCTTATTGAAAGTGACTACAGTGTATAATCTGTGTGATGGGATTGCTTATTTATTGTTGACAGGTTTTTATTTTACTGTCTAGTATCATACATATCTCACAATTTTCAAGCATTTATGTATCTGACACTTAGTATTTACATTCAATATCAGCTCTCGTGAGCTTGAGCCAAAATATCTATACTCTTAATGCTGGAGTTTATTGGCGTTGATGGGATTTTTGTTGGAGATGGCATCGATAGAATTCAATGAGAAGAGCAGAGCACGTCTAAGATAACAAGTTGCTGAACTGTTGAGCTCATTTAAGTTTTCAAGTTTTCAAGTTTTCATGATTAGAGGTTGCTCAATCTGGTTTATTTTTAAATGTAAATCTTTTTTTTTTTTTATGGGAAAACTTGCATGTATACCGCATAATTCTTATACATTCATATATCTAATATCTAAATATATTTATAATATTTTGGTTTGATAAATTTATATATTAAAAGGTCAAGCTCCTATGTCACGGTTAGGGCTGTCCAAAAAGCTTGCTGTTCGCAAATAGGTCTTGTTTGACTCGTTACGTAGCCCATATTTGATTTTTTCATTAAGTGATTTGAACACGAATAAATTTTTTAAGCTTGAATTATAAACGAGTCAAATATGAATAACTCACTGTTTGATCGTGCCGGCTCGTTTTAACTCAAAATATGGAAATTATATATATATTATTTATATAATAATTTATTATTTATATTTATATCTAAATTTAAATTATCATAGCTCATGTGTTCACGTGTTTTTGAGTCTTCTATTGCACAAAAATGATGTATGTTCAAATCTCACACCTACATCTTCTTTATACAAAAATTAAATTAGCCAATTTTGAGTCGAAGGCAAACAAGAAGGTAACAACTTAGCTGCACACAAACACGCTTATCACGAGCAATTTCCAACACAAGCCATTTTCGATAAGAACAAGTCAAACGGGAGATTTCTTTCTGTCTAAACTAACAAGAATAGTTAAAATAATGCTAATGCCGCTACTTTATGAACTCATGTGCTTGCTGCTTTTGTTATTATCATTTCTTATTTGGCATTATACATATCAATGGTCTTTTATAAGTTTTTTATTTTTATTTTTATTTATTTTCAACTCAGCGCATGCATGTAAAGTAATATTTTATGAGAAAAATTATTTACATATTAACAAAGTTTATATTTGCATGCGTAACATCTTCGTGTTGCGAACATATACATGAAAGTATGCATTTCACTTTTAAAAAGATATTAGCAGTCGTATTGGTGCTCTGATGTTTAATACACGAATGATATGTATGTAAAAATGAATGTTCGGGCGTTAGAATTGTTTGATGTTTATGTAAATCCCGCGAGATATTTGTGATGTGATGTTAAAGATAAAAGTGATACATATGTTAGTATGAATGTTTAGGTGTTAGATATATGAATACATAAAATTGCGTGGTATGTATATAAATACCTAAAAAATAAGTACATACCTTCTAATAATACTAAAAAAAATTTTGGATAAAAAAAGGGAAGATTTACATACATACCACTCAATTCATGCGTATTTACATGTCTAATGCCAAAAAATTAATTTTTACATACAGACCACTTTCGCAATACATGAAAATGTGTATTATATTTTTAAAAAATTAAAATGCTGATATCTTTGAGTGATATAAATGTGAAAAACAAAGTTTATGTGTTAGATAAAGATGATACATACCACATAAATCTTATACATTTACATATCAGACACCCAAATTTTGATATTTACAATTCTAACGCATTGGTATTATAAATCTATGAATAATGAATGTTTATATGTTAGACATTTATGTGCATGAGAATTGTGTGTTATGTATGTTAATGCCCCCAAACAAAACTTAAAAGTGCTTGATTCAAAATTCATTGCAACTTCATCATATTCATAATTTCACACCCAGCATACTAAAAATTAATATTGCCATTAAAATTCTAATAATTACTCCATTATTTTCTTAAGCATATGATTAAATTGTTCATCTATCAAGATGAATTTTGTTCCCACTGCTGCCTATTTTCTTCACAAGTAGCTTCCTAGCAAAGTCCTCCTATTATGATCACAATTAAATTGTGTCATGGTGCATTGCTTTTCGTGAACACTACTTATTCTTATTCTTTATGATAATGTTTCATGATTTGCATTGATCATGTCAAATCCTTTTTTTGGGATCCATCTATTGTAGAAGAAGCAAAATGCAATCGAGAAATTTTGGATGCATAAACTCAAGCTCGACACATTTGTTAAAATGCAAGCTCAAGCTCAGCTCGCAATGCTGACAATCAACTTGCGGTCGGAGCTCACCAGAGAAGCTAAAGGAACAATGACATGATAGAATGAGAAGACATCGTCGTGATCAATGACTCGCTAGAGAGCATATCTCACGAGCCAACGAGCCGTGTCGATTCACGACATGCTGAGGTCTAGCTCGAGCTCACAGCCTAATAAGCTTGACTCGCAAGTTTGTTAACAAGTCTAACTCGAGGAATCAAGCTCACTTACACTTCTACCCTATTTCATTTATCATGAACTCATTTAACGGAGTATTTTCTACCCTTCACTTGTACAATTTCCCATCCAACTACTCCAAAATAACACAAATTAAAAATTCATAGATACATCCCCTAAAATACTTAGCTTAAGGCATTATGTTTCCATATTTAGAAAAGTCTACAAAAGCATTATTGGCAAAAGTTATCCATCCTCACCCTTGCTGACAAATTATGTAAATATAATATTTGTAGCAAGCTATACAAACATACCAAAAACTTGTAAAATGCATTTCACTTCATGTATCAAAACATTTGAATATTATTTAACATGTGATCTTAAGGAAGCAATGTAAAACTTATATTGTTTTGAACATAGTTGAATTGTTTCCATATATATTTGTTTTATCATGTAATTTACATTGATACCTCACAACTTTTATGTATTTACATAACTACCTCCTAAATTTTCATATTTACATTCTTAGCAATAAGATTTTTAACACCTCGTTGAAGATGTTACTATTTGTGACTTTTTGAAGTAATGTACATTTTTTCTCGCACATGTTTATGACATTAAGGTGTTAATGAATTTAAATATCAAGTTTCAGATGTTAGACGTGTAAATTCATAAGAATTGTGCGGTAAGTATGTAAATTTCCTTATATTATTTTATTTACAAGAAAAATATTTTAGGCATAAGTAATTTCAACCAGTCTTTTCAATCCAATATCTAAGTATAATATGCATGGGCTTGATGATCTACTGATGCCTCTTTCATCTTTTATTAATAATTAATCGGCCATTTACATAAATACCAGACAAATCATATGTATTTACATATCTAACTACTAAACTTCTATATTTAGGGTCAGGGGCAACTGCAGCTAATTCATCTTATCCTGATAATCTGGTGATAAGCAGCTGCCTGATAATCAGGTGATAAACAAATGATCCAGATAAGATGTCTGACGGTTTAGTTTGTGCGTTTAGAGAATAGTTGATTCTGTAAAAATTATCAATCTGCCCCTGTTCTGGAGAAGCTGCAGTTGTTTGGCTTGTGCGTTTTGTAAACAGCTTATTTGCGTCCAAATATTTAACAAAACATCAAAATTACCTTCATATGCATATATTTATAAACCTTGAGTCTTATAAACATAAATATTAAAGTTTAGGTTGTAAATACAAACGAATTGTGTGGTATGTATGTAAAATTCGCTTAACTAATTACTTGGGACTCGCTTTGCAGCCCCAATTTTCATTCTAGTAAATGACTTAGATTAAATCCCAAACGAATCCTTAAGACCTTTAATTTAGTCCCTCAACTAAACAAAAATGATTCAAAAATGTCTATCATGTAAAAATTGTACTACCAAATTAATCCCCATTTAACTTTAATTAAATAAATTTTTATAATATTTTATAATAAAAATAATTAGAAAAAAAAAACAATTTATAAGCTAAGAAACCAAAAGAGCTTCCAAAAAAAAAAGAGGTTAATGATGATAAGGATTTTAAAACTATTATTTGCCCCACATGATAAGTATACATCAATAAATAAATAGTCATTAAATGAAAAGATAAGTATGGGTCTCTTCACTGGGGGACATAATACATCCCCCATTCATTTTTGTGTTGGCCGAAAGGCTCATATTTTGATGAGCTAAATGATTACCAGCTTACATTAGCCATAAAAATACATTTTTTTTATGGATAATATATTTGTTAGTTTGAAATTTTATTTATTTATTTATTTATGTGCTTGTTTGTGAAGAAATTGATAGAAAAAAGTGTTTTTTATTTATATCATATGTCTACATATATATATAATAAACATATTTCAATACATTGACCAATATGACATGTTAACAAGAGCCAAATATAATAGGAGAATGTAGGCAAACACTATCTTATTTATGGTATATTTCATAAAATCTGATATTTAAATATATTAAATTAAATTAATGCTAATAAGATAAAAAAATAAACATAAATTTTCTTATATAATATATAATTTCGTATAAATTGACATTACACTATAAGTATTTACTCATATTAGAGCAAATTAATATAGTACTTTCTGATAAAAATATAATTTGATACTAATCTAAAATTAAAAATAAAA